AATCATTTCTGATGAACAAATTATAAACATTTTGCGAACAGTTATAAAATTTTACTCAATTTTTCATAAACTTTCAATAAACCTAAGTTGCACTTCTTGTCAAAAAATTGTGATTATTTTTACAGTGGGTTTTTTTTCTGAAAAAAAAACAATCCAATTTCGAACAACTTTGTTATAGACGTCATTTCGATAAGCTGTTTACGTGCTATGATTTATCGAATACGCCGTTTAAAAAAAAATGGGTTGAGCGAAAATGCCCGAATTTCAGCACAAATTTGGTTTATTGCCAATAGAGTTCTCTACCATCGTTAGTATTAGCATAGAGGTAACTCTAAGAATAGAAGGTCCCGAAGAAACGTGCTCAACTGTTTGGCTCAGCTCTGGTACTCTCTTCGGTCCCGCTTTGGAGGCGAACCAGCCTAAGGCTGAAAGCCTCCTAAATAAAGCTAAATAATAATAATAATCTCTTCGGTCCCAAGCTAATCGATGCACCCCTCGAAACATAGGAAAATCCACTAACCCCTCATTCCTGTCAAACTTTCATAGCGAATCAAAACAAACATAGTGTAGTACTGGAATTTATACTATAATGGGGTACGTTAGTCGATTTGCTTGGGACCAATAGGCTAGTCAAGTAGTGAGCCAATTTAAAATCGTTAGTTTCGTATTGATTGTTGGTATTAGTGAGCAGTTTCACTAATGCATGCGTTTTACTGGTTGAAAATAAAAGTCAAACCACTGTCAAGCCGCTGACAGCTGATTTCGTGGTTGAAATAATAAACAAATCGATTTAGCATGGCTACACTAGCAACGTTGGATTAGTGAGATCTTGCGGCGAGAAGTCAATAATGAACAATTTGGCAAAGTTTTATGGAATTATGAGAAGGTGAAGTTTGATCGATTCGTCATTTGGCGTGCATTTGTACATTCGTAAACTGAGTAAAATTTTCATCGATTTACCTCACATTGGAGTTATTTTTTGAAGAAAAGCGAGGAAAATTTTACTCACACTCTTTTCGATATTTTGAGTAGGATTTTGCTCAATTTTGAGTCACTCTTATCGGCCGTGTACTCTCCTAACAATTACCGAAGTATGTAAAAAATCTCGTCAGTAACTCTTCGTCCACGTCTTACACTGGAGTGTATGTATATACTGCTATCCGAAAGGCACTCATAAAGCATTTAACTGATCCCACATCGAAGTATATTACAGTCAATCTTTTCACTTTCCCGTTTTCGTTGGTTTATGGGTGAGGACCACAGCACACACATACACACACACACACACACAATAACAGAGAGTGGCGAACAACAAGCAGCGTACAATTGATAAATCTACGTTACGGTCGGCCAGCAGATGGAAATGATGTGAAAATGATAATGACGTTTTGCTAGCTGTCAAATCGTATGGAATATTTTTCAGTACATCATCACTTTTGTGGTTTTGGATTTCAAACCTAGGTGTCGCATACACTGGTGCAGTTTCGCGTAGATTCATCAATAATTTAGATTTAAAATTAAGAGCACTCTCTGCTTCACTCAACTATGCCAAACATCAACAATAATTAACAACAGTTACACTAAAGAACCCATAAAAAGATTCAAAAGCATGAGTATCCACAAAACACTCCCGGCCGAAATTGGCAGCGTTTCCAGGCGAGACTTTCGAAAAGGCTCACTGTCGAAGAGGAAATGGATACGTTGGAGATTGTTGAAGACTTCATAAAACGTAGAAGCACTTCTACTAATGGAACTCGAGCTTTATACCATTTGAAGCTCCGAGCTGGAAGTGGTAAATGGAGTCCATGAAATGAAGTGGTTGCAAGCAGTGTCTTTTAACCAGGGGTGGGATGTGGCTGTCAAATACGAACAATTGTCGCCTACCTCGTATAACAGGTTCCAAACGTAAACAAGCCATAAGAAATCTACATGGTTTGTTTACGTTTGGAACCAATTTCATACAAAAATCATCAGTAGGCTGATTAGACAGCATGTCCCCCTCCAGCTTTTAACCCAGTGTAGATGAATTGCGTTTGTTTTGAAAATCGACGCTGTTATAGTACGTTCAGACTACAGAGTTAAAACATGTTATAGCGCTATCTTGATAGTGGTTTCTGTGTTGCAATTATTTGACAACCGTTATAGCAAACCACTATCAAAATAGCGCTATAACGTGTTATAACTCTGTAGTCTAAACAAGGCATTGCGTACGAGCAAAATGAACAAATACGCGTTTGTAGACATTCAACAGTGTTTTTTATCCAACCCAAAATTATCAAAATCAGAAACGATTCTTAAAAGGAAAATAAACAAATTAATTTTGGAAACCTGAACCTCGATATTATCATCAAAGCCTAGAACCTCGAGGTTATCATCAATTCAGCATAAGGCAATTGTTGGGTATTTCCCCGTTTGCACAATCCGTGCGCACCCGCGAGTCACTTGTTCGGACTAAACACTTAATAAACCCGGTGATACGATCAAGAAGAACTATATTTTGAAAACGCACTTATTACTCAACGCGAATGGACTGTAAATTTATTAATACTCGACGTGATCACACGGTCGATCGGTGCCGTCGGCGGTCGGTGGGTAACTAAAAGAACTACCTATTGGTGATGCTGTAAGAGCGTATCACTGATAGCTTATTGCTCTCGGCTACATACACAAGGACGGTCGTGCGTTCGTGGTCACTCATTATCAAATTCCTTATTCTACAGTGACGCACACAATTATTGATCTAACTTTCCCTAACAGCAATTATTGCCATTAATATATGTGTAAAACCAACTCGACACGTTCTTCAGCACTAAATTTGTGTAAAACGAACGTAATCTTTTTTCATTTGAACCTCAAAATCATCCCCACCAAGATGAAGACGAATAATAATATTGACAACAACAGAGGCGATAATGAACATCCAGTCACGAATTAAGAAAAAACAAATCAAGTCACGAATTAAGAAAAAAAAAAAACAAAGCAACCTCTGAGTATCGAAATCATTATTATTATATTTTAATGTTGACTTCGACACGCAGACGTGCTTTGATCAAGAGAATTTTGTTATGTCAAACTTCAACTTCATGCTGGTAGTTAGTCTATCTGCTAAGGTTGTCTTCAGTTTCAGCTAAGTTGAGTGTTGAGTGTAGAAGAAATGAGTTTTATCAGCACTGCTTGCAAGTGCTGTTGATTCGGGCCATGTTGTCGATAGGTGGTAGCTTGGTTCGGAGATGATTTGAATGAGTTCCAGGGTTACTCGTGAGAGGTTGGACGGTTTGGGCTGAATGGTCCAAAGTATAAGTAGAACTAGGAGAACAGTGGTCAGGATGTAGATCCAGGTGAGCAAATCGAAAGGATATGTGAGAAGATAACACAGTGGACGTTGACGGTCGATAGGAACGGTTAAACATTCGGTAAAGGGCACTCAAATGCATGTCGATGAGCGTTCCTGAAAAGGACGACAGTAGAAAACCTAAGCGGCAATCGATGCAAATCTCGTCGTCGTCGTCGTCGTCTGGTTGATCATAAATTCTTCATCTGGGATGCGAACGAACAAGGGTTGGACCGCTACATCAGTGAATAGCATTAAAGCGGAGTTCTGTTAGTTAACTTTGCGTTGAATGCCTGTTCGCTCGTTAAATAATCGCTTTAATTCGAGATAATATCCCGCAAAAGTTCTGAAATGCAGGGCGATTTTTGATGTTTCATGATCTTTATATCTGCGAGCTTAAACTTGACATACCATGAAACCGCCCAGGGTTAAAAATATTCCACAATGCACGTTCAATATCACTCAATGTAGAAGACTCCTGCTGGTTATCAGAAGCTGTGGTGAGTTCAAGCCTATCAGAACTTGAATTTTCAATAGATAACAACATTCTGACTTATCCACAATCAGAACAGTAGTGTTTTTGTTGAAATAATAAATTCGATCAAAGGTGGTTCGGAATGCACCAATTGAACAAAATGAACAGGAGCAATATGGGTATGGAAATGCTGAAGTGTGGACCTTTCGTCGACATGGTTTCTGCTGCACTGAAAGCACTGTTTTCATTATTTTGTGGCTACCATCGTCCCCTGCAACTAATGTTCATTATAAGCCATTCGAGATAAGAAGCTGATAGAAGTAATAGGTAGTCTTCAGAACATTGGTTCATCGCGATTTTATAAAGTGCACTAAATGTGCACCTGTTCGGTAGTCAGCGTAATGCAGTTTAAATTGATGTAATTGAATCATTTTCGCTGTGCTATTTCCTTGCAATGAGCAGAGAGTACAGCACAACCCGTACAAGCATTTCTGTCCCATGTGAAAGAGAAATCAAGCAAAGATATCAATGCTAGACTATTTGAGAATTAGAAATGCAACAACTTATACAGGGGAAATGTTGGCTTCGGCAATTCCTTAAACTATTATCGTCAGGGGGTAAACAAAGTCCTAAAGCACTCAAATTTGGCCAATGGATGCTCTCAAACACAATGTATCCACATACTAAAATTGAGCCCTCAAGGACGTTGTTTACCCCCTGACGATAATAGGTTAAGGTATTGCCGAAGCAAACATTTCCCCTAGCTCAATTAAAATTTAAAGAGCAAAAGATTATCGATATAGAATAAAATCGGAAGAGTATTAGAGTATTTAAAAGTAAAATATTCAACACAACAAATCATTCTTAAAAACAAAACAAAATATGTTAATCAGAAAAAATTGCTGACAATGCATTTAAAAAACAAATAAATGCAAACGGTCCTTAAAATAAAAGAAGCTAGTTGATCAAAAAATCTGTAAATCTAATGATCTTATCATCTTAATTCCGCACTTGAATATTAAGAATAAGGAATTCACGAATCATTAAATTGAGTTACAGCAAACAATCTAAACAAGGAAAACATTTTAAAACTTAAATGTCAATGCAGAAATTCAAATGGTTAGCTATTAATGGCAAAACGTTGGAATTTTTTTTTGTTCAAATGAAAAGCATAGTAATTTAAATGATACTCACTATCATCGTCCGGTCGTATAACAGTCTTTGTTGAGTGAGTGTTTCCACTGAATAGGCAAATGGGTTGTCCGTTGGGGGGCAATTTCCACTTTTGACTCGCGTTCATCTGTCGATCTTCCTATGGAATAGAAAATAAAAACAGCAAAATTGAAAACCCATTTTAAACTTTTTCCTGTCGATTATCTTGCACCCTCTGGATGGTGGTGGTGGTAGAATGCAATCTGACACTTACTTGGTATCGCGATAATTGCGTTAGCACGTGATGTATGATGCTGGCTTCTTCCTGGAGTAGACCTTCCGACTCGACGTCTGTCGCAATTTCCTGGGAGAAGAAAAAACATGAACATGGGTGAGGTTTAGGTAAGAAAAGATAGATGAGAAAATAATTCGTTTATTGAAGTTGTCGTTTTACAAATCGAAGCTCTAGTGGTCGCGGTCCAGCCTGAAAAAGTTGATAACGTTTGAAATTTAAACTCCAAATTCTAAACTCAATTTTACAATTCTAAATTCCGAATCATCCATATTTAAAATTCATTGATTTCAAATTCCAAATCCGTCATGTATCATACCCTCCATATATTGCATATTTGACAAATTCTCCAAATTTAACAATTATTAATTTCAAAATAGCCAAATTCTAATTTTAAAAATTAAAAATAAGGCTGATGTCAAAAATATTTCCTCTCAAATAGGTCGAGAGGGGCGGGAATAAATGTCTTGAAACGAAAAAAAGACCAACGTTTAAACAACTATTTAATTAAATCCAAAATAAATAATTTGTGAAATTTAGGATAAAGCGCAGAGTGATAGACAGTTTTGAATAGGGCATAGTTTGTTGGTCCCTCAATATTGTCCAAATTTGACATACTATAAAAATAAATTTTGCATCAAAATCCAAATACTTCAAGTTTTGCAGCTCAAATAGTAGCATCCTCATTTTATACAGACGGAGAAAACTTTGCTGCAAACCGACACATTTCAAAGCATATTCTTGTCACGAACCAACAGAACAGAGCATAAGATCGTGCTAGAATGGAAACCACCCACAACTTTCGATTGTTTTGCTCTGGAATAATATTTGATCAACAGATTCTTCCAAATAATTTGCGCAACTGTTAGGATTCGATTACAGACCATCACCCCCGTAATCCCTGTTCTCCTAGCAGCCAAACGATGATGCTGCCAATCGTGAAATGTCAATTTGCTCCCATTTCCCCAGCTCCTCCGACTGACTGTGTATCGGAAATTACCTTCGTCGGAATGTGTGTGTGTCGTCGCACCATGTGTCGCCATCGTCGCGTTTCGGAACACCCGTCATCCTAATTCAGCTGGGAAATTAAACTCTTTTATGCGATATGAACAAATCGAATTTTCCCACCACCCAACCTGTGCCCGTAGCAGCCACCAGCTACCGCAGCTTTCGACAGCTTATTGGCAGAATAACGACGATGAAGATGATAGCGAAAATGGGCGGGAGAGTGCAGTGGAGCTCAGCTTGAGCGCTCGAATCCTGGCAGATGCAGAGTACAGTGTATATGGAAGATTGCGCGCGGATTCGATTTACTCTTCGCTATTGAGCAGTATTGTTATTTCTGTCAGCTTTCAAGCAGTTGCATGGCAGCAGACAGACTTTCGAATGGATAGGAATGAAATGATTTATTATAATATTAATACAGCAATAATCAACGGCACCGCCGTCGATGTAGCTGTCAGATGTGAGGTTGGATTTATGCAGTCTTCGGTCTTCTTCATCTGTAGGTATGGATTGAGAAGTGCAGTGGAACGATTTTCCGCAGTGAAATGGAATTTGAAACCCGGTTTCAAAGACCCAGCTGCAGATGGGTAGTTTCCGATGAAGATGTTTTATATTCTAGCGGGGTGGGATTTCATGATGATTTTAATCCAATCAGTGTGAATCGCTGTCGTTTATGACTGCTTTTAGTGTCATTTTAATAGAATTTTTATACTAACGAATTATTTGTTATAATGTCATGTTCAAAGGTGCTTTGCTTAATGGGTGTCTATTATGATAACGCAACATGTTGCTACTAGATTACTTTGAATTTTGAAAAGGGTCAATGAGCCAAATGCAAACAATGTCTTTGATCGTCGATTTCTCACGGACTAAGACATTTTGCAAATTTGTTTAAAATTAATGTTTTTGTTGGACGATTTAAATGAACTGGTATTCGCAGATAATGTCCCTCTCTTAGTGGCGTCGAAACACAATAATTTTACGATTCCCATGTAAATTCGATTACCCCCTCCTTCAATGTTCGAACCAAGTTGGTGATACTGCCTCATGTACATTCAACGGTGACTGCAGAATCAGAAGTAAAACCTGGAGGATTTCATCGTGGAATCCGACCAAACATAAACAGGTTTTCGGTGCATATTTCAAAACCATTGGAGCAGAACAAATACTCTATACAGAAGCTGGATGCAACCAGAAAGTGGGGATTGACAAACCTACACAAATATACGGCAGTAATCCAACAATTGGTGTACGGATCTCCTTCAGATGCTATCGACAAGTATGTTTATAAAGGAGACTCTACTGCGCGAAAATGTCAACAGGAATTCTGCCAGAAAGTTGATAAAATCTTTGGTGATAAATATCTGCGCTCTCCAACCCGTGAGGATTTTCAGACGCTGTTCCAAAACGAAGAAAAGCGGGTATTTTTCTGAAGATATATAAATTAAACTGATTTTATTTTTAACTTTTCTCTGAGCTTAATAAAATACTTGAACTTCTCAGAAGCTCTTGGAATTTTTCCGAAGATCTCTTAATTTCTCTGAAGTACTCGAAGTTTGTCCGAATTACTCGTAGCTTATCTCAAGTTCTTGGAACTTTTGCTGAAGTGTTTGGAACATCACTGATTTTTTTTTAAATTTTGCTGACGTTCTTGAAAGTGTACAGAAATTTTTGGAAGTATGCCGAATTTCTTGGACCCTCACCTCACAGTGGGCCAGGAATAAAATCGAGCTAGAAAAAATAATAACGGTAAAGTTTCTTGGAATAGCTAGGGCTGAAATTTGGTGGATAAAGCCACAAAGATGTCGCAACAATACAAACTTTTTTATTTCACTAGATAGAGTTTTTTTTGCCTTGGGAAAATTTTTAGAACGTAACATTTTATGAATAGTTGCTTAAGCCGTCAAAGCTGTCCAGTTTTAAATAACTGAGATGTGCAAAGTCTTGTAAAATTTGTCTGAAAGTCACGGTTCCAGTATTACGTTTTGAACAATCGTTCAAAACAATACTTTTATTATTTTTCGTCGATCGGCACTGATCAATGTGTTGCAGAGAAATACTATTGCTAGATTTTTAGAGGACTGTAAAATAAATATCACATGAAATTTGAAAAAAAAACATGATTTAAAAAATGCCCACGAAATAACCTATAATTCCTTAAAATATCTTACAAGTATATTGAGATGTATTTCAGATATTTGAATTTGAATTAAATTTGAGATATTTGGGCGCCAACGCAATTGAATGCAATCCCCGAGCGTTATTAGTTTTTTTCCCTGCTAGATTTCATTGCAGGCCCACTGTGCACTTTAGTTATCCGAGCTATTTTGGAGAACTTTGACTACTTACATGTTTTCTGAACTTCTCCGAAGTTCTTGAAACTTTTACGTAGTTTTTGGAACTTGTTAAATATTCAATTTCTCATGGGGTAGATTCGTTGCACTTACCTCAAAAGCACAGACGAAGACCTACCAGCGTAGGTATCGAAGAGTCACCGTTGGTTGTACACGCTACAGCCACCAGCGAAAGAATGCCTCTCTCGAACGAAGGACCATGACACAACTCGTGATCGAGCCACCGACAGCTGTGCACTTCACAGCCACCAGTAGTGGGACGATGAGCCACTGACAGCTGTGCACCCCACAGCGACCAGTGAAGGAACGATGCACCGTTGGCTGCGCACACCACAGCGGACAGCGTAGGAACGATGGGTCGCCGATAGCGCTTCTCGCTTCAGCCACCAGTCGTTGAGGTGCAAACAGCTGTAATCACTACAGCCACCAGCGAAGTAAACCTCTCTCTTTCGAAGGACCACGGCAAAACTGCCGAACACAAGTCTCCGATGAGCAGGGAAACAGTAAATTTCAACTCTTTTATAAGTGTCCACTAGATGGAACTTAAGCTGGGTTTAGACAGGGCAAGTCAATTGATCAAGTCAGTTGAATTCAACTAACTTGAACGCGAATTGAACGTGTAAACCATGCCACTCAACTGACTTGATCAACTCACTTGAATTGAAAAAAGTTGAACCAGGCTCAACTTTTCAAGCCAATTGAATTCAACTGAGTTGATCATTTGACTTGCCTAGTCTGAACCCAGCTTTATGGAAGATGAATCGATCATCACAGAAAACAGTGATTGAACGAACAGGAACTGGACGAAAGCACGCACACCTACCAATCACTCGCTGACCAGAAGCTAAACACCGATCGCTCCGATGCTCGGGAAATCTCCGTTCTCGGACGAAAAGAATGAGACACTGTTCTCAAGTCTGCCTTTTTTATAAGCTGCTTCCTCTTTAATGTTTAAATACAGGATACAGATACAGGTTGCTTGTCTTGTCTTTGTTTTAATGGGACTTTAACCGTAAACGGTCATTCGTCCCTGTTTGCTTCAATTAAATTTGGTGATACAACCCGGTTGCTTTCAAGAACTCCAGCAGCTTCTGTTCAGTGGGTGGTGATAAAACTTCCTCTATGGTTGTATCTAGATTATAAGTCAAACGTTCGGTACTGTAGGCTCTACAATCTAACAAAAGGTGGGGGATGGACAGTGGGACACCGCATGTGATGCAGTTTGGAGGTTCCTCTTTGGTAATTCGGTAGCTATGGGTAAGACAGGTAGCACCAATTCTAAGTCTGGAAAGAATACGGCGGTCTTTGGGGTTTTTATTATCTGGCCAACGAGATGTAGGCTGTTTGATTCTTCTTAGGGCGAAACCTCGGTTATTGAGCCATTCAAGATCCCAGCTTTCCCTTATTTGGTTCTTTATCCATTTGACAACGTCCATAGAAGGAACATCAACTGTTTCGGGATTCATTTCTCGACCAGCACCAGCCAATCGGTCCGCCTCCTCATTGCCTCGGATACCAGAGTGACCTGGGACCCAACAGAAGGAGACGTGATTAGCTACCCGAGAAGCACACTTCCGTTAATAAAAGTTGCAGCAACTTGTTTATGACTGAAATAAGTCATAAAGAAGTTTCTACAACCGATATGTGACAAGCGTGCTACTAGGGTATGGAGGATGTTTCTGCTGACATGAGCCAAGGATGTTTCATGGAACT